AATAAGCAGGCTGTGAATTGATGCTACATGTAAATGAACCGTTACACTGTGTTGTGATTCATGCAGTAGTAGTCTTCATTCTTTCAGTTGCCTGCATTTCAATCCTTTTTGTGATACTTAGAAGAAGTACAGTATGTTCCAAGGATTGGCGCACTTCAGTGCCCTCCCGGCATTGATTTTAAAAAGGAGGTGCCTACTGTAACAGTTCACGTTATCTTTTTAGACTTATGATTACTTTTGGACATCAGTTTAATGACAATTGGAACTCTTCACCATCAGGATAACTTGTCTGTCTGTTCTCTTGACCAAGACATCTACATTTTGCCTCTGTTTATAACATCAACTTCTTCATTCCTAATGTGGACAAGAAAAATTAAAGGAAACTACACATCTTTTTCAGTTGTGGTTGTACCTTTACTTTAACTTACTCTTACCTACTCTCTTTCTTGCATGCACAAGTGGATTTGGATGCATTTTATGCATGTGGCACTCAGCCTTTACTTGGACTTTACAGTATATGCTTATTCAAAAATAATTTTGCTTTTGTAATAAGCTTACAGTATTCAGGTTGCCAGTATTGGCCTTTAACTAGTTGTGGCTAAAACCTTTTTCTCCCACTTCTTGCTCCAGCAATCAGCACAGATAAATAAATGCGTCAATATTTGTTTTCCTTTTTAAAAGGTCCAGGCCCTGTATGTGTAGGACTTACACTTACTTCATTTCCTACAGATCAGACCCTCTTATCTAGCTTTTGATTCTGAAATATAGTGCTTTCTCTTTTAACTTACCATTATTTTTAACAAGTTAACACTTGCTATTTACTGTTAGTGGGAAGATATGTGCACTCAGTCTTGCCCAGTCTCTTTTCCAGTTGCTAGTTAATTTTAGAGTTGCAAGATAGGTTACTTGTATTCTCTTTCAAAAATGTGATTTCAGCACCCAAATAGTTGTTTTATGCCCTCAAACTCTGCCCATTGCTTGTCCTCATCTCATCAAGTACTAAAGAATAATAAAACAGTGAGCACCCATTTTTTTCGGTAACCCTGTTTATGGCTTCCATGTACTCGGAATAGGTTGTAATTTTTCAGTACAAGTGTTGCATACAATATTTAGAACTGTGTAGATGCTTTGTTAACAGTGGTTCAATAAGTACTTTCCCAGTGATGTGGTATGTTGCCCACAAATGTGGGTTTGTAATGGAAATACTGGCATAACTATAGTGATACTAGATAACACTGCTATAATAAATTTATGAATAATAATTAAATGATTCCATCTTGACATGCAACTTTGATTGATGAATGAATTGCTTTGACTCGATATATAAGGTTTGACACGTGCGAGCATGTTTTGAATAATAAAGAAGAATGCAGCTATCTTGAGTTCTTGATCACTCTTTGGAAACCTAGCATCATTCGGTATAACTAAAATGAGATCTTAATTTAAGTAAAATTAGTTGGACATTAAATATCCCATGATCCATGAAATTTAATTTGCTTTGCCTTTAACAATAGTATGTTAATAAGGAAATGCTGTTGTCAGAACTGAGAAAGTTTGATTCAATGTCTGTACAGAAATCGTTTTTTAAAAAAGACATAGTTATCCAAAGAAAGGGCAGCTGATATGTCTAAATATGTTGTGAATATTTTTTTAGCTTAACTTAAGACTGGCCATACTGGGTCAGACAAATCATCCATCTTGCCCAGTATCCTGTCTTCCAGCTGTGGCTGATGCCAGATGTTTCAGAGGGAGTGAACAGACGAGGGCAATTTATCGAGTGACCCATCCTCTGTCATTCAGTCCCAGCTTCTAGTAGTTAGAGTAGTGATAGGCAACCTGTGGCCCATCAGGATAAGCTGATTGTGGGCCGCGAGACATTTTGCGGACGTAGACTGTCCGCAGACACGGCCCCCCACAACTCCCAGGGGCTGCAGTTCGCCGTTCCTGGCCAATGGGAGCTGCAGGAAGTGGCGGGCCGCTCATCTGCAAAATGTCTCGCGACCCACAATCAGCTTACCCTGATGGACCGCAGATTGAAGGTTTAGGGACACCCAGAGCATGGGATTGCGTCCCTGATGTTGGCTAATAGCCATTAATGAACCTGTCCTCCATGAACTTAACTAATTCTTTTTTGAACCCTTAGTTTTGAAGCTTAGTTTAAAATAGAACTTGAATTTAATATGTTGACTAAAATGATGGGATGACTACATCCCATTCATTGAAATCAGTGGAGTTACACTAGTTGGACCAGTGTATTTAGATCACATATTTGTTATTAGTTGGTTTAAAAATATGACGTGAATTAAGGACCACTCTAATTGATTTTTTAAATTTTATAATTTATCATTTAGTCAAAGCAGAGGGTGAAAATAGATCAGCTACTCTGATTGTGTATGTGGTCTCCTGAGTCTAATTAAATCTAAAACCTATCTCAGTTTATTTCTGTTTGCAAATCTTTCTCTGAATACAGAGAATTAACATTCCCTAAAAAGAACTGACTGAGAAATGACAAAATGCACTTGAGGGGTGTTCTTTCAAATAGGACTAGTGAGCTATCAGCCCGGAGAGAAATAAAACTGTTGAGTCCTGTCAGTGTATCGATGGAAAGGGTAACACACAGGAATTCTGGCTTCAAAGTGGCAGTTATAAGAAGCAACACTGACCAACTTCTTATGATTTCTGTTCCTTATTGGAGCTCTAACGCTTGCTGACTTGAGGCATTTATCAAAACCTCCAGTTAGGCCTTTGTCTTGCCCTAACTTGTAACTGTTGTTGTAAAGTTTTTAAAATAATCATTCTTATTTAACTCTTGTTTTCTTGGGTCTGATGATAAATCTGATCAATTAAAATATAGATTAAATTTGCAAAGAATTTTGCTTATTTCTTACAAATGAACTTACAGAAGAATTAGCTATAGCTGCTGACTCTTTCTTTTGTTATGCCACTACCCCATTCTGGTCCAGGTCATGGGAAGGCTGGGATTTTTCAACTTTAAGTATTAATTAAAAATTCTTTGGAGTATAATATTGCAGTATCCCAGATGGCCAGCACCCAGGCACCAGTAAATAAATTTCTCCTTTTTTTTATATCCTGAACTGATACTCAGGGGTTTATCTTCTTCCTTTGCCTTGTACACAGTTACAGAGAAACAACTCTCAACGCTGGTTATATCCTCCATTGACTGCTGATCTGCTCCCTTTCTAGCTGTGTGACTGTGTCTGATGTTAGATACAGTAGAGAGAGAGGGCAGGACTACAGTACATGTCTTTCTGCTTACCTGGAGTATCTATTTGATTTATGATCCAGATGAGACTGGAAACTGTGTCATGGAGGATCTTGTAAGTGAACAGTACCAAATTGAACGTAAAAAACAATAACCTCTCTGTCCCCCCCAAAAAATAAACCCCGCAAAATCCCCAAAGCTCACATGGAGAATGACTCATGATAAATGCTAGTAACCAGTTAGCAAGTATACATTGAATCCAATATCTACTATCACATAACAGGGTGCACGCTACTAATCACCAATGTTGAATGCCATGTGACTGGAAGCAAAGATTTGTGTATACCATAAAAGCTTCAGTAAAAGTCACTGTGCTTCACTATTACTGTAGCAAAACACACCCTCTTGTGGTGAGAAGAAGAAAGTCCAGTCATAAGCCTACCGGTTTCCTCTGTTCCACACTTTCACTCACTGATTGCTTTATTAATCCTTCTCCCTCAGTTGTTACTGACGCTCCTTTTTTCTTCTCTTTGTTCTATTTACGAGTGTCCCTCGCTGTCTTGCACTGTTTCAGCCTTCCTGCTTTTTTCCTTGTTCCACTTTCTTTTCTTTTTTCGTAGTTAAATCTTTTACTAGTACCTCTTATAATTTGTGAACTGAAGTGTACTTCATGCTGCCTTTAACAACGTATTGATTGTTTTTATGCTTTTGACATTAAAGTAACTCTGCATGTTAAATTACCAATATGCTGAAAATATAACTTGCAGATCTACTTTTGAAACTTTCTTCTGATTTATCACAGGTTGCTGAATTACAAGAGTAAAAAGCTAGGTACAGAGACAAGAATGTTGAAGAAAGATTCATTTTGTATCTCAAAACCTTCAACAAAACCTCTGCTTAGTTTATCCAGAGAGGATAAAGGGGACCAGTGGGAGTCATGTATAGACTGGATCAGGACATAACATGCTGCTTTTTTCACCTATTTAACAACCCAGTTAGGTCTGGGATGAACACCAAAGAAGGGGGAAAAGATTGTAATTTATCCTAGCTGTTGTACAAAGCTATAAACCACATTCAGTAGTGTAATTAACCCAGAAAAGCTGCCTCAGTAAGCCAGGCAGTCTCAGCAAAGCACTTCTAATTAGGTTTAAGTAGAACAAAACCTCCATGAACTAAAATATGTGATAAGTGACAAGCAAATAGTATTTATTGCTCCCAATTTATGCCAAATATACAATTTAGTACTAAGTGTGCAGAGACACTAGAAACTATGCCAGGTGAGACTCCCTGCTACATCCCAGTAATATTCTCTCTGCGTGAAGGAAAATAACAAGGTTATATGCAGACCCTCATATTTTTACATCTGCTTATAGTGCATTCCTATTGATTCTAAATACCCATGCCCTAGACCTTTCAGATTACTGCCCTTTGTTTGAATTTTGCTCAGCTGGGCTGGGAGTTAGGAGATGAAGGGCTCTTCAAGGGAGAAACAGAGGCAATCAGTGAAATGGCAGCCTGTGAGGTGCTCTTGGAACACCATTGTGAAGAAGGGACAAAGTTTTTTAAGGAAGAGGAGACAGTGGCAGGCAACAAGTTCATTAGGTTACTTAGTACTGCACAATTTCTAATGTGAATTAGGCAAAAGAAGTGCTGCCAGTCTGACATCCATAGTGGATATATAGAGTATACATAAACAGAGTTTATACAGAGTTCTGATGTCTGGAAATGACTACTATTTCAGAAGCCCCTCTTAATTTTCTTTTCTTTTGCTTTTTAGGTATCTTGCAATATATTTAGAACTCTCCCACCCAGTGACAGCAATGAATTTGATCCAGAAGAAGATGAACCCACCCTTGAGGCATCATGGCCACATTTACAGGTATTAAAATGATTAAATATAATCTGAGAACAAATCTGTATCACTGCTTGATGTGTGATGTTTTCCTACACCGTCTGTTAATCTGTGAATCACATTTGAATTGGTTCATAAGATATAGAAATCATTGTTATACCTTCCTAACCACTGCTCTTTACTACAGCTGGAGTACCTATGAACATAGAAGAGCCTTTGTAATGTTTTCAGGGCCTTCCTGATCAAGTCAGGGACTTAAATTCAGCTCAGGACTGAGAATGGCCCACATTTTCCTGTTCTCCTTCACTGCATTAAAAAAAAATTATTGTGGAGAATTGCACCTGTACACCGTACTTCTTAGCAGCTTCAGCAGGAGCAGTGGAATGAAACTAATGTCATCCTAGTCAGTTTTGCTCTGCTGGGCCATTAGAAAATTGCTACTATGCAGAAGAAGCATACATGAGCCCTTGTTGCTAATCAGGAGGATGAGGGAGAATATAAATGTTAGTCTACTTCCCTTTTCCTTCCTAACAATATATAGCCTTGCCTTCAAGAATTCAGAGCAGAGTATACTCTCTCTGCTATACATCCTCCTTGTGGGATGTATAAGTATGCCTTCAAATATCAATTGCAAATATCTTTAACGTACAGGAAAACAAACTCATTTCACAGAGAAGGTCAGAAGCTTTAGAAGCTTCTGCGCCAAATTTAGCCCTGGCAGAAGTAGGTCTACTTTCCATTGATATCAAAGGGGCTATGTCCATTTATGCCACAGGGAAATTGGGTTCTCCTCTCTCCAGTTTAGAACAAGTCAGAGCCTGAACACCAGAGAGAGAGAGGAATCTGGGAGTTGCTCTGAGTACAAGGGTATGCTTGATCTCTACCTAGAGTAAGGAACTGGTTTGAAACTTTTATGCAGGGCTCTAACTCTGGCTATGAGAGATTTGATAAGTCACACAATAGTCTCATCCCATAATTTAGAAACTGTCTCCTTTCTCCTTTTGTACTTAAAATCTCACAAAAATACTATAGTGTATTAAATCCCTTGGGATGCTAGGCGCTGTACAGACACAGAACAAAAAGACAGTTCTGACCACAAAGAGTTTACAATCTAAGTATAAGTCAGGACAACAGATGGATACAGACAGATGGCAGAGTACAAGGAAACAATGAGACAATATTGGTCAGCATGATAGGGAGGGGAGCAGCTATAGATTTTCTTAGAAAATAGATGGTTTACGTAGTAAAACTAACCTCACTATTTGTCAGGGAGTTGATAGAAGTGCTTTCCTGTTGACCTACTATTGAATTATATAGAGTTCTTGAACTTTTCCTTACCTCCGACCTCCCTGTTGTTTCCTTTAAGAAGCATTTAGAAGAAATCATTGACTCTCAATAAGGCAAAGCAGCCACAGTATCATGTTATAGGGGAGTTTGCATGGAAAAGCTGTAGATTCCTTTTAAATTCATTTTTAGCTTGTCTTTTTCCCTCAACACCAATATTTATCCTTTCAAAAACTGGAAGGGAGCACATTTTAAAATGGTTGGTCTCCTAGGAAAGGTGTGATAGGGAGAACTGACAGCAGTCTACAACTCATCTGTCTACCGGCAGATCATAGCTGCTTTCCTAAGAGAGCTAGATAATATCTGTTGCACTTTGCTTCCTTTTGCCTTGTTACATGCTTGTTATATACTATCTGAATGAGTCTGGTCAGTTGCAGTCCCTTCTGAATTATATCGGCAGAGATGGACTTTTGTGAGAGCAAGTATCTCTAGTCCAGGGCTAATTCTCCTCAGAGAGTTGGAGACTCCTGATTAAATCCCATTCTGCATTAGTCTGCAGTGTTTCAATCTGTAGCAGAATGCTACAGTGAACAGTTTCTAATTACAATTAAATGTTTCCATACTGTTTCACCAACCCTCTCAAAATCATAATGGCTTTATTTTGTATGATTTCAGGAGTCCAGAGGACAGTGAGAATGTGCTTGCCAATTACTCCAGAAAGCTGTACAACCCAATGAACAAGCATTACAAGATGATAATGCCTGTTCTTAGTGGGAATCAAGATGAAATTCCTCTGATTTAGGGTCAAATGAGCAAGATTAACACGTTATGATCATGTAATTAATTCTAGCTCTAAAGTAGCACCTTGATAAATTTAAAAAAAAAAATCCATAAGGTCTTTCAAAACATAGGCATGTTCTATTCTAGTGCATTAGGGAAAAAAGCTGGGAAACTTTACAAATAAAAGTAAAATAAAATCATAGAATAAACTGTGATTTTGTTTCTTGCAGCTTGTTTATGAGTTTTTCATACGATTTTTGGAAAGCCAAGAATTCCAACCTAGCATTGCCAAAAAGTACATAGATCAGAAATTTGTATTACAGGTAAGCAGGCTCATTTTCTTTAAAATTGTCAGCATGCTTTTGATACTTAATATTAATGATTTTTTTATTCCTAAAACCAGTTTATTCGAAAGTAGAATGTGTAACTCTTTCACCCTTCCACAATAACGGGTAAGTGGGTAACAGTAAAAGAGATACAGACCAGCAGAGGGAGGAATATCGATCCATCACAGAAGTTCCGACTAGGTGATCCACAATGGTGCCTTCTGGCATTGGACTGAGACTGTCTAGCCATCATTTAATTTTGTCTCCACTTTTTTTTTGTTAACTCACTTAAGAGATTTGACTTACAAGTTGTATAACTCAATTGAAATTGTGGCAGTTTAAAAGTAAAGGTTTGGCCATAGAGTGCAAAAACCTAAATAGTGTTTATAGAGTATAAAAAAACCTATTACATAGAGATTGTTTATGCCTGAAATTTGACTGGCTTTAAAATTGTTAAAATATCACTTTTAAAATATGGAAATATTTTCTCATTCTGGCTCAATAGCGGTTTGAGAGCTGGCAGAAAGGGCAAAAGTTCATTAAGAAAACTCTTTCCTAGAGCTGTACTGAAAACACTGATGATGTGGTGGTCATGGTGGAAATAAATCTAAAGGCCATGTTAAGTTCAAGGTCTGTTAGAAACACAGGAAGGGAAGTATCAATAATGGGGGAAAAGAACTAAATTGTCAAAGAATGGAAGTTTTATCTTCATGATGTGGTTGCCGCCAGCATGACTCAACTGGGGAGGCCATCAGTCCCGCCAATGGTAGCCAGTCTGGAGTTCTGCACCTAGTTCTTTGTCTTCCTGTTGTGCAGGCTGGCTTCCCTGTGCATTCTGAGGAACTAGCTTTCTTCCACACCTCAGCAAAGCTTTGCATAATATGGCAAGGCAAAGAAAACTTTGTCCAGGCAGACGACCTGAAAGTACCCTACTTTGCCTCTTCCCTACAACTTTCAACAGTGGGTCCATTTGCCTTTCGTGCTTCTCTCCCCCACCATGGACTTGTGTGGAATCTCTGAATACAACCAGAAAGAGAACCTCTAGGAGGACCAAGAGGTAGATGGGGTCATGCTAGAAGTGATAGGAGATACTTTGCCTTTCCCAGGATCTCTTTCCCACACATCTTCATGAGCGAGACTTTTCATCCATGACCAACAGCCTAGGAAGGATTCTCTGAAAAAGCTTCCCAAGAGAGCCCTTTCTTCCCCTAACCCCCACAATAGTTTCTTCCACCCCAGGGCCAAAAAAAGCATAATTCTTCATTCCCCCCCCCCCCTTCCTTTTAGGTAGGGGAGTCTCCTGGAGAGAATGGGGAATAATTGCTGCTGTGATGAAGTCCCATCCCCATTCCTTAGCAAACTCTAAGAAGGTCACTCTGAAAGACTGGGGGCGTGGGGGTATTTTAAATCACATATTGCTACAAAACTTGAATATCTCTTCAGAAATTCTCAAAGGAGGAGGTGAGGCTCTGGTTCAAGGCTTTCTTTAGGGGATATTTGATATGAGACAACTGTTCACTTCTTTTCCCTTCAGACCTAGCCAAATCATTGTGGAGAGAATCCTGGTGCCCTACTCTTCATTTTAGAGAGACATTGCTTCTGTACTCTTGTTGTATGTTTCTACCCTTACCCAGCATCCTAGGTATGCTTATCCTTCATGCTTCTTCCTCAGGACACTCACCCTTGTCAGCCTTTCATAATGTTGCACTAGGGTACGAATGTGGATCAAAAGAAGGGTTTCGGCATCTGGTCATCCATAATGGTATACCGAATGAAAGAGTGGTAACTATTCGGAGAGGGAATTTAAAACGAGATATAGTACACATTTAAATATGTATGAGACAGTATATCACAATGCCTGTTGAGAATCAGATTATTCTTGCCGTGTGGTTTAGGTGATAGACTTCTTAAAAATAGCTGTGTACCTTTTTTAGATCGAATGAGTATTAATTCAAATGAATGTTTTGTCTAAATCACAAGTTAGGCCTCAATTTGTAAAAAGTAAATTTTGCATTTAAAATTGACTGGCCTATTAAAGCCATATTGCACTTGCAATCGTATATTTAAGGTCAGCTTGGTTTTAGAATTATAACTTCATAAGGATTTATTAGGTTACTGTAAGACATTTATACTAGACAGCAACTGAAACTTTTATAAAATTCAACCTGTTCAATAAATATTGTTCCATGGTAATTTTAACCTATGACATTCTTTTACTTATGTTTTCATTGTTGAATTTGTTTTTAAAATTTGAGAAACTTTAATGAAGTTATTCCTAGTGAGGAATGGCTTTAATTTCAGAATGAGAAAAATACCAGTCACTTTTTATATGTACAGTATTTACAAACCTAGTGCTGTGTCATTGGATGTTTAGAGTTTAACATTTCATTTCAAAAGATGGCTTACATCTATTCTGAAATGTAAGGCAGAGGTTGCTAAGAGACATAACAATTAAGTATCCCATACCCATATGTTCTGCTCTAGGTGTCTCTTTAGCAATTTGTACTTCACATTTCTAGTTATAATTAGTATAAAGGTATCGTAATAATCATGCAAATTATGGAAATCATTCAACCTGTCCGTAAAAATAACCCTTTGTAGTTTTGTTAAAACCTAAAGACAAATTGGACATCATATATCAGAATATGTCTTTTTACTGTGTTTTGAGCCCTGTAATTGAAATTGATACTGACAGGCCTAAACAATGTTTCCCAAGAGGATATGTGCAATGAAACTGAAAATCTAAACATTTTGCCTGTACAACCAATTTGCAGTCAAAAAGTTAAAATCCTGTTGTATCTGCAACTTTTCCAGCTATTTTCTACCTTAGGTGAAATTCAGAATTTTTTGGAAGGGAAGGCAGTTATTTATGTATGTGTAATTTGGTGGGGTTTTGTTTTTTTCTTTTAGGACAGAACTAATTCAACATAGTGATTTTGTGTATAACCTCTCTAGGGCAGCTGACAAAACTCATAATTTCCCTCATGAAATTGCCATTTCATATCCCTCAATGCAGGGAATACTGTATTAATCATCACAAGTTATGGAACTATCCAAAGCAGTAAAACAGTTAGGAAGCTCACATGCATCTGTCACAGACTTGAATGTTCTAAACCACAGGTCTTGAACATGTACCTAACTCCACTCTCTTTTATACCCTGATTTGTACAAGAAGGAGAATGCCGTGATCGTTGTTGAAAAGAAAATGTGCAATATGTCGATGCAGAATAAATAGTGAAACAGGTGCCATAGAGATAAGAGAAGTTACAGTAAAACAGCCTTCGCCCATAAAGGTGTTCAGGACTATGATGGCAATTATGCAACAAGGGTAAAGCTCACCTGTGCAGGAGACAGAATTTTTGCAGCGGCCAGTCTAAGACTGTGGAACAAACTCCCACAAATTAAAGACTGTCACGGACCTCACCACCTTTCATTCTAACTGCAAGATGCACACCTTCTCTTATGTAAACACAGAGCAAAAAACTCTGCCAAAACATACTACTACTCTGCACGTACAGTTTTCCCCTTGAGGAAAGGATGAGACAGAGAATGAACTTCATGTGACAGTTGTTAGTCACTTTTTATAATGCGCTAGTGGAAGGCACTCAGATATTACAGTGATGATGGCAGTACAAGAACCTACATAGTATAGAATAGAATGAAATCAGTGCAAGTACAAGAGTCTGGGGTCATGGGGAATCTGCAATATTGAACACACATCACTAAGGTTATCGAAAAAATTATTATTTTACTACTTATATCAGTCCACCTTTCCAGCTGGATGTGACTATGAAATGGGGCCTGTGACATACTCGTTTCCACTCATCTGAAATCTGATCATTAGAATTGATGATTCAGATTATCTTAATTTCTACAGATAAGAGATTTGATACATACAGTGTTTGCCTTGTAAAAGAGAGCAATATTATTTTTAAATTGTTAGAACCTTCCATCACTATGAGAGAAGTGTCAAATTACAAATTTGGGGGCGGAGGGTGTTCTGGATAAAAGGCAGTCCATATCAAATATGTAAACTAAAAATCAAGATGTTATCTTAAAAAGACACCTAATTGAAATCTGATAAGATTGGCTGACCTGTTGTTGACCTTTGATTGTAAAAATAGTTAAAGTTGTGATTTTTGTGTGTGTGTGTAGGATGGGGGTTATATTCAGCTATTTATAATGATCGAGTATACCAGACTTTAATATTTTAGTTCCATAGGAACATGTAAATGAATGGTGAGTCATCTCATTACAAGCATCTGTCATAAAAGACCCCAATCCTGCAAAGATAGTTGCAGGGTGATCCCTGTGCAGAGCCCTATCAATGTTTAGTCTCTGTCCAGGCAAAGTGACCTGCACGTATGCATCTCTTTACAGGATTAGAGCCTTGAATTATTAGTGTTATGTGATCAGGGTCCAGATTTTTAAAGGTGTTTAGGCATTCCTGAACTCATGTTGCAAAGCCAAACTGATTTAGGAGCCTAAATATCACTCTCAAACGTGATTTTGGTGCTTAGAAGCCAAAATTCCATTAATAGTTGAAGGGATTTGGACTCCTAGGTTCCTAACTCATTTAAGAAAATGAGATTTAGACTCCTAAATCAGTTAGGCGTTGCAATGCTGAGTGAAGCAATTCTGAAATACCTTTAAAAATCTGGGCCCAAGTAACTAAAGTTTTTATATTAAAGGGACAGTTAATAAGTACAGTACCCTCAAACACAAGTAACTATTCAGTAAATCTAAGGCAATTTGAATTTGTTTTCTACCATTCTAATTAATGTTTTGTTTCCACTGGTAGCTTTTGATTAACAGACACAGCTCTTTGGAGAACAGTCTTTGTATTTTGTACAAATGGCAGACAACTCCTCCTAGTTGTCAACAATGCACTGCTTTATTTATTTTTGTCACTTTTAGATTTCCTTATCTTTTTTTTTTTTTATTTCACTCCAAATCCGGTCTAGTACGGTCAGAGCAGATGATTTCAATTGCCAAGGCTCTAAACACTTGCTTTCTTCTGGAAGCCTTGCCTATGTTCTGAAGTGTGTTTTGAATTGTCATATTGAATTATTTTTCTTTTCACTCTATAGCTTACCTTGGTAGGCCCCCCCCATCCACTTTGTTTTGACGACACACTGTTGTCGTGTTGTAGCTTCCACTATCCGCTGAGATATGTCTTCTTAAAAATAAGAATATTATACTCCTGAGGTCAGAGTTTTTAATGTTTTTTTGCCAATGATAATATGATTGTGCTGTTTTTTCCTTCTAAGTATATACAGTAACATGCCCTAAAACCATATGTTAATTAATATTCACTGAACAGCTGAAAAGGATCTATTTAAACTGTGATTTGCCTTTTCCTTTTTTAGAGAACTTTTGATAGTGTCTGCAATTTCTTGTGGCTGACTAAAGTCAGGAGCCCAATTATACAATTTAACTATTTTTAGATTACTATTTTCTATAATGTAAATATTACATTTTATTAGATTTTTCCCTCCACTAACTATACATTGTCTGTAACACTTCTATATCTGCACATATTTATTATTATTGTAGTTACTGTTGTTCAGATCAAAGATGGTGATGTGACATTTTAGACACAATTAAGAAAAACAAGGTCCCAGCAACAAGGAGCATACCATAGGTGCACTTGGAAAAAAAAAATCTCTGATTTGTGAGAGCTCACCAGTTTTATTGGTATTCCCCATATTAAGCACTGAGATTATCTCTCAAACCAATAGATTGTAGAATCAAAGAAACTTTTTAAGTGCAACCACTGTGAAATCAACATAAGATAAAGTATACATACAGAACCCTAAACAGCTGTGGGTGGTGGGAGTGATGCATGTAGGAGAGATGATGGAGGCAATAGGGAAAGGGAAGCTCTTCCTTAGAGGATAATATTTAAAGCCCCGACCAGACATCAGTCAAACTGTTTCTTTAAAAGATTAGAAATTGAATTAAAAATAGAAAAAACAGCTTGAGAGAATTGGTAGTGTTCATAAAACACAAGTGGGCTCAAAAGTCATGCATTACATATATGTACAGTGTATGCCTGTCTCAGTTCAGGCCCTTAAAGATTTTGGGCATTAAATTGACATGACTGTGTTAATGAATTGGTATTCATATTTTGCAACTAAACTCTGTTTTTTACCATCTCTGGAATGTTACCAGTCCAAGTCCTCTGCTTAACAAGAAAGAATTGGAATAATTGATAAATGCTTTCATATATTTACAGGCTTGACTGTGGCAACTTCAGTTATAAACACTCCACAATACATTTTCTACAGAGTGCATTGGCTGGTATTCACACAGTTGACTGAATACCTCATCTCTATGTTGACTCCTTTAGAGTTTCATTAGCTCCTTTTCAGTTTCTGTATTTGTCAAAAGTTTTATTTTAATTTATTTAGATTTTAATTCTTTTAATACAGAGTTTTTATTGTGTATTTATTTTATTTTTGTTAAGAATGAAGGCAACAAATTTTTGTGACAGTTGTGTGCCCTCACACATATGCAATCTAGCTCATCGTATGTAAACTGTATAAGATTTTTAAAATAAAGCCAATTCACATTTCTTATTAGTCATCTGATTCTTAAATTACGTTTTCTTTTACAATAGCTTTTGGAGCTGTTTGACAGTGAAGACCCTCGAGAACGAGACTACCTAAAAACAGTCTTACACAGAATTTATGGCAAGTTTCTTGGTCTTAGAGCATTTATCCGAAAACAGATTAACAATATTTTTCTACGGTAAGTTTTGGGGGGAAACAGTTGTTGGGTTATAAATGTTTTAAGAAACTAAATATTTATTTATTAAAAATGTTTAACTTTATTTGATAGGTTTGTTTATGAAACTGAACACTTCAATGGTGTAGCTGAACTGCTGGAAATATTAGGAAGGTAAATGAACCTTTATATAATAAGCCATCTCAGACAGCTATGCTGAAAATTTCAGGGGTCAATGAAAAATATAACCCTAAGCTCTGATCCTGAAAACAGACTTGTGCACGTGCTTAACTTTAAGCACAGATTAAGTCTTAGCATACCTCTTTGCAAAGGGGATTTTATTGTGTGCACATTACAAAGTACAATCCTTTCTTACATTGTTCCTTGTGCATTTCATTCTGACTTGTACATTGCAAATTTTACATTGAGCACACTAAACAGTTATTCGTGTGTTGGTTTCAGTGTGTTGCTAGTCAGTCTAATTGTAGTTAGTTCAACAGTCAGTTACCAAAGAGCACCTTAAACTCATTAATTTACCAACCAAATAGGCAAGGTCATACATATTAGGCAACAAAACTATGACTGATCACATAGTTATTCTCATGTCAGAGCGTAACTACTATATAGCAATGACTAGAATGAACTGTACCTTGAACAGTGGCTAGTGCAAAGGTTCAGCACATATTAGGATAATACCTGCAGTCTGTCTTCTTGTGTAATTACTTTGATAAAAACTACTTGTTCAGACCACAAGTAAATTTTCTGTGATGTCGCTAATCAATGTTTCTTTTCTTATTTCTAGTATTATCAATGGTTTTGCTTTACCTCTTAAAGCAGAGCATAAACAGTTTCTGGTGAAGGTGCTGATTCCTTTACATACTGTCAGGAGTTTATCACTCTTCCATGCACAGGTAGAAATTATAAAAAACATTTTCTGCTTGGTTAAAACAGAACAGTATGCTTGATTGCTTTGGAAATCTTTTGCTTAGCCAAAAAAATCTTCTAAATGAAAATGAAAAAAAGAAGCCCGCAGAAAACTTTTGTCATGTGGAATAAAAATGAAACCAATAAGTATTTGGTAGATTTAATGCATTTTGTAGAATAAACCTGGTGGAATGTATAGATAGATTTAGAGATATATAGATAGATCTCTGGGTTTCAGATAACCTTTATTTACCTGTAAGATATTGTCTAGCACTGAAACTCTGTAGGCTTTCTTCAGGCTCCCAATCTTTCTTCCCCTCTAATGAGCTGTCTTCCCCACTCATCCAGGCCCTGATTCTGCAGCCAGAGGTCTCAGTTGTTTTTGTCTCTTGCACTGTCCTCTGTCTAGTCTTTCTATCTTGGTAATTCTTTACACACTCACCCTCTCTGCACTTTGGCTCTAAATCGATCCTAATTTCTGCACTCTGGCCTCGCTTTCTTAGTCTTTAATGCCAGTTTTTGGCCGTGTTGGCTCATCTCATGTAAGTCGTCATGATGCTGATGCTGCCAAAAGTGTAAAAGAAATACATTTGCAGAACAATGAGCCTTTCAAAATGTTGCTTACATGAGTACAGTTGGAACCCATAAAGTTCAAATGGTTTCAAAATGTACTTGGACATATTCTTTCTTCACTTTTCGTTTGTTTGTTTGTTCTTTGCTGTTAACTGCAGCTTGGATGCAGTTGCAAATTCCCCTGACTCACGGTTTAAAATAGGATTTACAATTTAGAATAAGATGCATAATGAACTGTTCTGATTCTCTGTTCTTTTTAATACTGAACACGTCTTTTGAGTTCTCAGTAAAAATGTCATAATTTCATGTGTATATATTTTTTTTCCCCTTCACAGCTGGCATATTGTATAGTACAGTTTCTGGAGAAAGATCCTTCACTCACAGAGCCAGTAAATATTTTTGTTTTTTTTTAATATATCTTAAACATCCAGTTTTCCCAGCTGTGAAATTGTAAAATTTAATGTAAAATTTACTTTCTCATTTGTAATTCAGGTCATTAGAGGTTTAATGAAATTCTGGCCAAAAACCTGCAGTCAGAAAGAGGTAAGTTCTATGTTGCTGTTAAGACTTCAGTAAAGGAGTTTGATAGTTCTACAGATAAATGTTAAAGATACTTTTCTCCCAGGAACATCCAGAGAGTTTCAGGTAAATACCATAGGCTACTCTTAAATGCTATTGTGGATTTTGGCATCTGTTTAGCTCAGTCTGTGTTCAGACTGTCCTGTGTTGGACATAATTTTGACAATAAAGAGAGGTGTCAAGCTGATGATAGTTATCATCTCTGTTGGCAAGTTAAGCATTATATTGTAATATGCCAATATAAGTGTTCTTTCACAAGGGAGTGACTCTTCATGTAAAGAGAGCAAAAGTGAATGTTGCGGAATTATGTGGAAAATTATATTAGAAATTGCAACCCTTTGTGTCAAACCTACATTTTCAGAGGTGGGCTAGAGGTATTTTTAGCTTCTAACATAGATTGGCAATTAGTTGCATGATTACCTGATTTTGCAAATCTGAGTTTACACACTGATATTTATGGGCACAACAAGAGCATCTTTGTTTGAAAATTGGTCCCAAAAGACAAGCAATTAAAGATGGATCCTTTAATTACCAGGGTAAAATCCTGGCCCATTGAAGTCAATGAGAGTTTTGCCATTGTGTTCACTGGGACCAGGAATTCACCCCAGGTGCACAGTGTCATCTGGAAATTCCTTAGGGCAGAGACCATGCATTATAAGCTGTAAATAGAACACTAAGCATGTGTTGGTGATCAGCAAATAATAATAGATCAGAGGCAAGATCCAGGAACTACTGAGTATAGAATTAATCACTCAGTTTGGGATTTAATACTAGGAGATGCTGAGAATGGAAGCTAATAGAAGTTGAGGATGTTCAACACCTTGCAGGGCAAAGGTTTTTTAACCATGATTCGAATGTAGTCTTGTCTTCTCCCTCTTACTTATGTTCACTCTCCCACTTAGCAGTCATTACTGTTTCACAAATCCTTCAGCACTTCAGAGTCATTTGAACCTCCCTGTCCCCAGAGGAACAAATATGTCATATGGATATGAAAGGTGTGTGCAGGATTAGGGCCTAAATTGTAGGGGGGTTATAGCACTTGTAACCTACAGAAACATACCTATTTCTGTATGAATACAACTATGCAATGAATTTAGAGCTAACCAAACGAGCTACAAAAACTGGTTCCCGTTGTTTCATAGAATATCAGAGTTGGAGGGGACCTCAGGAGATCATCTAGTCGAACCCCCTGCTCAAAGCAGGACAAATCCCCAGACAGATTTTTTTTTTTTTAAACCCCAATTCCCTAAATGGCCCCCTCAAGGATTGAACTCACAACCCTGGGTTTAGCAGGCCAATGCTCAAACCACTGAGCTAATTGTGTTTAGTCTTAAAGTGCAAAATTTTGAAAACTTGTTCCCCACCTGCTGTTAATTGTGGGGGCAAATCCTGAAATTTAGATATCTTAACTATCTGACTTCATCAGTAAATAAAGTGGATGACTACATTCTGTTGTTTGTGCCTGTAGAATTAGAGGATGAGTTGAGACCTGTTTGAAAATTTAGCCGATAAATTGCAAATACAAGAGTTGAGGAGTTCTGAATTTAACAATTACTTGTGTCTAGGTCATGTTCCTTGGGGAGCTGGAGGAGATCTTGGATGTGATTGAACCTTCACAATTTGTCAAAATTCAGGAACCTTTATTTAAACAAATTGCCAAGTGTGTCTCTAGTCCTCACTTTCAGGTCAGTAATACAAGTACATTTTTTTTTAAACAGGAATATAGTTTCTAAGATCTTGTGAATATACAAAACGGATGCCTAAATGCTGAGTTTGCATTGTACTGATTAGAACATATTTACTATTTGTATATCCATGGACGGGTTTGTTACAGTAGCAATACCTACACTCAGGGAAGAGTGAAATAGAAAAAAGATGAGACTCCAAGGGTGAGATCTTAGAGTCCATTCACATAACAGCACAAAACTTGCATCTCAAGTAAAGGAGGGGTAAGGTGGGTTGGGGGAAAGGGCATGTTAGAGGCAGGGTGACAGGATGCAGTGCTTCAGTGATTCTAAGCAGTTCTCCTTACCTGTCCGGGTAGGCATGGAGGCTGCTGCAACTCAGACAGCCCCCCAGGGCAGTCTGAATTATCCCAGCAGCTGCTCCAGCCCCTAGAGTAGCCTAGAATCAGGACGGTGCAATCCTAGTCTTAGCCCAACCCCCTGTTGCCCTGGGCTTTGATCCTGCCAAGTGTTGAGCACCTCTTGTGAGATACTTCATACTCTTGGCTCCCTGTGATTTTTCTGGGAGACAAGGATTTGAAGCAAGCCGCAGCAGGTACTCTGCACTTACTCTGGGTTCAGGGCGTATGACTCTGACCATAAAAGTGATCCAAATAGATTTTAGTTCATATTTAACCTTTCACCAAATAAGAAATTACAATGAAATCAGACACTGAATACTTACACATTAATTTTAACATTAATCATGTTTTAAATTTATTTTATATTTACTTTAAAAGACCACCTTACATTAAAGCAAGTTATGCCCTGGATAAAAATAGAAATTTCATTTAGAAACTAATGATAACCTATTGATTGACTCTGACGCTATTTGTTTTGTGGCATGTTTTCTGTAAAATCTAACAAATTCGTAGATAACTGATTTTCTGCTAATGGGTTTTGTTCCTCCCTCCCCATCAAAGGTGGCAGAAAGGGCGCTGTATTATTGGAATAATGAATACATCATGAGTTTGATAGAAGAGAACTCCAACGTTATACTTCCCATCATGTTTTCCAGTCTTTATAGGATTTCCAAAGAACACTGGAATCCGTAAGTTTTGGCATTATCTTTCATCTGTCCACTTGCTGAAACCTATATATTCAACCCTGGAAATTCCAGATAAAGAAAACATGAAATAGCGCCAAATTCAGACTTGATGTAAACAGATGCCACTCTATGAAAGCCAATGGGATTTAAACCAGAGCTGAATTTGGCTCAGAATATTGTTAAGTTATCTGAGACATGCACAAAATCTGAACTCTGTAGGATAAAAGCAGCAGTGCAAATTGTTTTATTTCCAAAATATGTTAAGGCAGCTAATGTAATATTTTTTAAACTTTTGTATTTATTTTTTCATCAGAAATACAAAAACAATAGAAATAAAATATTGTATAATTACCAAGAAAAAATGTCAGGCACCAAACGTTTCTAATGCTCTGTCAATACATTTGTATAAACTGGTTTACAGGATAAGTGTGACTGTAAATTGGCCCAGACATACCCCTTGATCTTAATACATCTCTGTAAATACATAATAATATTTTGAGTGGTGTCATATAATCAGTGGCAGCAGCATTTTTCTAAACATTTTCTAAACACTCTTAAAAAAAGACATTTTCATCTTGACACGATCAGGATGATGTACCTGTCTCATTTATCTGGGTTTTTTGTTGTTGTTGTTTTGTTTTTTTACAGTAGTCTAGGGCAGTGGTTTTCAAAGTTCAGGTCACGACCCAGTACTGGGTCGCAGAGTGCAAGGCACTGAGTCGCCTTGCTCAGCACCCAGGGACCCTGGTGGCTGGCCAGTAAGAACTAGTAGTCCCTACCTGTTCTGACACCACGCTGTGCCCCAGAAATGGCCAGCAGAGGTCCGGCCAATGAGAGTTGGGGGGATGGTGCTTGCAGGCAAGAGCTGTGTGGAGCTGCTTGTGCGCCTCCGCCCAGGAGCCAGACTTGCTGCTGGCCGCCTCCAGGGCACAGTGTGGTTGGTGGTGCCAGGACAGGCTGGAAGCCTGCCTCTGCATCCCAGCTGCGCCGCTGACCAGGAGCTGCTAGACGTAAACCCACGCCCCAATCCCCTGCCCCAGCTCTGAGCCCCCCCCAAACCCGGAGTCTCCTGCACCCCAATCCCCTCATCCCGGCCCCAGCCCAGAACCCGCACCCCCAGCCCAGAGTCCTGACCCCCTCCCATGCCCCAGCCCTGAGCCCCCCTCCTATACCCGAAACCCCTCATCCCCAGCTCTGTTGGGTATCGGGCATCAACAGTTTTCTTCAACTGGGTCGCCGGAAAAAGAATTTGAAAACCAGTGGTCTAGGGAAACATTTAATTATATGTACAGTTATAATTAGATGTCATCCATTTACTACCTGGGTCACAGAATATGTCTGGGGGTTGGTGGATAGCATTTAGTAATCACATCACAAAATTTAATGCTGGGATCATTTTTAGCATGCACGCTGCACTCCTTATTCAGGCCTGTACTTTAAAAATTTGTGATTGAAGTAAAGTTTTGTTTCTTAGAATTATCAACTCTTCCTCAAAGATTTTTTCTTTTTCCAATGGACTTGTTTTCTTTTTACATGTACTAAAGTGAAATGATCATGAAACGTACAAATCCAAGGGAATCTTTCACATTTCTCATACTTGGGTTCTTTACTTTGAGATATTCATACTCTATTCAAAGGCATCTATTGAACCTTTTTTCTGTGCATCATTCACATTTGATGTTTAGATTTTAATTACGTCTGCTAGAATAACAATTTTGACCATTGTATTACATTCAGAATTGCTGCACTGCTTGGTGAAGTATCTGCAGTTGTATCGAGGTAGAGGTGTAGTAGGAGATTAGAATCAGGTTCAGCAATTCCAATAAGAAAAGTTCAGGAAAGTGTGTACATTATTTTTTGTTCTTATTCAATTTCAACTGAAACTAATAGATTCCTTATCTTTTTTGTATTTCACAGGGCTATTGTGGCTTTAGTCTACAATGTGTTGAAGGCGTTTATGGAAATGAACAGCACCATGTTTGACGAGCTGACAGCCACTTACAAGTCAGATCGTCAGCGGTAACTTTTTAAAGCTTTTTTGTCAACTGTGCATAAGGCCTGCTGTTTAATTTTTTCCTCACATTTTGCTGTGATTGCATAATTTCACACATGATTGATTGCAATGCCTCATTTTTTTTTTTCTGCATGCTCATTAGCCTTCTCCTTGCAAGATGCCAGATAACCTCATGAATAGGTGGTTGTTTTCTCCCCTATGAAATACAGTACCCGTTGCATAGCTTGTGGATCTGCATTCCTCACAGAACTCCTTTTGGCACCACATTCCAAAAGACTTAAATGTATCAAGATTTTCAGTAATAAAAGAAGAACAAGGGTTTAAAGATCTCACTTTGCTTAAAGGCTTCAAAAAGGGTGGAGGTTGGACGTGAGGGATTTCCTCAACACATGACTCACCATAAGACCCATCCTACTTATCCTGCATGTGGTCTTAAGCCTAAGTGGCACCTTTCAGCCCTTTCAGTTTTTTCCTTTTTCACGGATCTTGATATAGCCGAGTCCTTTAGAGTGCAAGATCCAGTAGATGCACCATTCATACAATCATTAGTTGCACCCTAGTAAAATGTTTTTTGTCTATTTTCCTTAATCTTCATTCTCCAATTATAGTGCATCATCTTTTGTCTAAAATTTCAGCTTATCCAAAGCGGCAGGTGAAAAAAATGAGGAAACTTCGGGAACTCCGGGCAGTTTGCGACTTCGTTTAAGTCGTGCCTTTTGTGTGACTCGGGGTTCCCACAAGCAAAGCGAAGGGTACTGTATGTCATCAAACCTTGTTAGGTTAGTATAGCCTCTGAAGTCTTTTGGAGGCCATAATACTGTTGAATTATGTGACCAGGTTCATAGTTCACCTTCCTTTTGATTTGATTTGCTTTGCTTTTATATGTAATAAAATGCAATGTTTTATACATTTAAAAATCTGTAATTGATGAGTTAGATGGTGCACTGGATTAATGACTGCACTAACGTTATTTCTGGAGTCCTGAGTTTAAACCTGAGCCGAATCGTAGGTGACTTGATGGTTTTTGTTCAGGCCCTGGTAGACAAGGTTCAGTCTGTCAGATTAGCTGACATCATCACTGTCCAGTTTGTAGTGTGTGCGACACAGAATCCTAGGACTAGGTGTCTGATCCAGGAAGGTTCTGAGAAGCCTCAGCTACTACTGAAATCAATGGATGCTGGAGGGACTTTTTATCTCATGAGGCATTCAGAGTTTCACAGGATCAGACCCTGCCATAGCATGTATGTTGCAGGTAATGACTGTGTGGAAGAGCTTTCTTAGCACTTGCTTACATGACCTCCACTGTATCTAGGGCTGGTGCTGATCTTTTAAATATATTTATTTATAAATTATTATTTTAATATATATACTAGAATGTAAAAAATGAGATAACTTCAAATATTAAACCATGTTTAATATTAACAATTAAACAATCACAGTTTGCTGAGATAAAGACTTCTTAGGGTTCTGTGGACAAACATGGGCAAGTATTTGAACATCTTTCCATAGGAGATTGGATTTTCGTTTACTAAGTGCTGGTGAAAAATTCATTAGTATTTGTAAGGAGTGTTGTAGGTAGGAAGTGGTAAATAGTTCAGTAAGAACTTGATAATGGGAACCCTCAGAATGAAATTCAGGAGTAAGAACACACATTTCAAAGCGGCCAGGTGAATTGTAGTCCAGTCCAGTTGACTTCAGTGGGATTACTCACAGGATCAGGGCCTAGGAATAGAAATAAGTTATAATAGACTTATGTTGGGTTCCCCAATAGAACAAAGTTTACAAAAATAAGAGTGATGTATAGCCAAGTTATTTAGAATTTGTTAGGGCTAAAGTTTTCAGTGTCAATGAATAATAATAGTTCAAACATAGATGAACTAATGAGGTAACCTACTGAAATATTTTAGAAAGAAAGGATACATGGTATAGTGATTAGATAATATAATGATAAATTTCTGGTAAGTGTATTCACCATTTCTTATATTTAATTTTGAATATTTTTCAGCAGCTATGTGTAATGAAAGTAGAAACTATGGATGAAAACAGATGTTTGTTTCTAACCAAGAATGGTGTTAATAGATATGGCCAAATGGCTGCTTTTTGACTAAATGTATGCAGCCTAAGTGATGTGAATTTCCCAGGTAGCAAGTTGTACCAGAATAAAGCTTCTAAATCAGTGGAATATTTTGAGAAACTCTGCAGTGTGACAAATTGGGAATCTAGATTTCAGTACCCTAGATGTCCATGATGTTCATGTTCCCATTGGACCTGATCCTGCAATTGAAAGCTCTCTCCAACTTGTAGCATCAAGACCATACATACTCCATGTGTTGTTGTAGTTATCAGAACACATTGACTTAATTTTATACTTATTTAAAGGCAATTACAACATTGTCCCCACATTATAGCATAAGGACCATATTAATTCCAAATAACCAGTGACAAAGAGAGAGACCTCAGAGAATAAACAAATTAAGAAAGTTCTAGTTTAGTTTTTAATTTTTATTGGGTTTCCCCTGAAACTTCATCCACTCAGTTTCCCAAGAACTCAGTTGGACTACAATCTCATCACTCTGATTCCTTTATCTAATTAGGCAGCACAATCTGTTGGTAAAGCAAACATTGCACAGATTATTTTGTAGGGATTCAGTAGGAATAAAGACAAATGCATTGAATGACGGTCAGATCCTGCAACTGGATTCACACTAGCTACACTGGGATGGAGCACTGGTCTTGTTTGAGAGAATAGGCTAGGTTTAACATTAATGAAAGCAAGAGAGACCCTAATACCCTTCTTTAAACAAATAAATAAACTTGAAATTGTGAAATAGAACTTGGCCAAAAAGTATATATTAATCTGAAATGTAATATATTTGCTCCATAAAACATTTAAATATAATTCTAATGTGAACTAGCTATTTTTGCTCTATTGTAAAATTAACATAAGTAAAGATTTTTAAACTTTTTTTTATTATATCCCATCTTCTGTTTCTCTTAGTTTTGTTCAGCATTTTTGATGTAGATAAACTAAAATTTGGAGTAAAAAATGTGTACTGAAAATAAATATACATTAGGGGAAAATGCATGTGCATTAGAAAAATTATTGCTCATAGCTTATATAAAATAAGTATTTTTGGATAGGTACTTTTAAAGCTTCCTTGCTGTTAACACTTCATTTTATTTTATCTGCTAGTGAGAAGAAGAAAGAGAAGGAACGTGAAGAACTGTGGAAAAAACTGGAGGATTTGGAGTTAAAGAGAGGTCTTAGACGTGATGGAATAATTCCAACTTAACAAAAGAAACAAAGCAGCATTATTAACCTGTGGAGTCACACATTTATGTAGTAGAAGATGGAGCAACAGTTTTCTGTATTGTGCAACTTTACAGTAGATTTCACATTTGTTTCATTATTACAACAGCACTGTATATAACTGTCTCTAAGTAAAGGAAAAAATAAGGACTTTTCTCCAAAGTTTGGACAGCAGATGGACTTCTCAGAACTTTGCAACATAATCATTGTTTTGACCCTTCTTTAAAACCAGTCTTCAAAGATCTGTTGATGAAAATTGCTATGTCAAAATTTCATTGTCAGGACCTGTTCCTTATTTATCATTAGCAGAGAGTATGATACAACTTTCAAATGTGAACAATCTTAAATTTAGCTTGCCTTTCTGCTAAACTGTTAAATGTATTTATAGTAAAAGAGAAAAAAGATTGTCATTTCCTTTTGAGTTTGTGTAACATCCTCCTTCTCTGGATAACTTTACTGTAATTTGACATTTTTTTCCCTTTTGCACATCTTCATAAGTTGAATGTCCATGCAGATCAGGGCCATGAAAAATATAGGTCCCTAAGGTTTTGTTTACTGGTGTGAGTATCTTTCCGGTACCAGGCTAGCACTGGTACTCCTTCAATTTAAACATTAGGAGTAAAAATAAAGAGATGATAAATGTAGTAGGGAAGGAAATTTCAGATTAATGCATCAATTTATTGTGAATCCACACTGTCTTGAATCCTTTGAAAAGGGCAATAGTAACACCATGAACTTCAGTACCTAACCAGTATTAGTTACATGTCATTGGACACACATACCAGAGCTGTTTTGGTAATACTAATGGCTAAATGATTACTATATACGTTTTATTGGACCATTTTGAAATTATAACGACAAACGCTAAACAGTACAAGTATGAAATTGATCTCCAGTGGTCATGGGTCTAATTGGGAACAGAGCTGAGCAAACAGTTTGGACTGTTTGGAGTTGTTGCCTTACTTTTTAATATGTATTTATAAAGTATTCCAGCAAAAGAGGATGTAGCCTCTAAAAAACATACTATAGTGTTTTTGTGACTGTAGTACTATTACTCATCACAGCGCCAGCCCTATGGTTTTAGCTGGAAAGGATTCTGGATAATATACTTCTGCATTCTGAAGTGGATGCTCATTCCTAACTACTGTATTTGTTACCAAAAGTGGTTCTACAAATGCTACTGAAAAAAAATTCTGGAAATCCTAATGTCCTGAGTATTAATAATAAAGTTTAAAATGCTTTTATATCAAAGGTGCATTGTGACCAAATTGTTTAAAAGAAAAACAAGAGGGCTGTATTATAAGTATGCATTATTGGCTATCTGCTTTGTATTTAAAAGTGGAATCTTACATCTTTGATCGGTAAAATGCTGATAAGACTTATGTACAGTATATATTTAGCTAATGCAGTTGCATTATTTTATATGGAAAGGTATGTGTTTCAGGATTTTTCTCCAGGATGCTTTTGAACTGTTATAGACATATGACAACAGTGAGTTGATAATCCTAAACCATCAATCCAGCAGTATTTATGGTATAAAGCTGACTTGGTGTTCATGAGTCTTTGTGTTAGTTGCAAACATGAACTTATGACCTGTTGCCATTGATAGAAATACAGTATAAGTACGAGCTTGTATATTTTTCTTCCTACTATTCAAATATACAGTAGAATTTGAGGTTTTCTTGTTTCCAGGTGCGCAAAAAAGAAAAAATGGCGGGAGGGGAGCAGGAATCCAATCCCAGCTTTCTGACTGTTTCAGGATTATCAGGTCACAGTTTGTACACATGGGTCTGCACATTGGATGTTGTAAATGCAACAACTTTGTAAAAACTTGACACTGTTAATTCTGAAAAAAGAACAGAAGTAAACTAGTCATATGCAACACAAAACATCACAACATGGTTTAATGGGATTAATATAAGCCTTTTATAAGAACACTGACTGGGACTCAATGTAAACTTGGCAGATACAGTCAGTGAAACATTTTATTTTAAAAGTGCTGGAACAAAAGTGCAAGCTCAGATCTGAAGATTAAATAAATTTATAACAAATCGTCCCTTAACCCTTTGATTTTTGACAGCCTTTTTGTTTCTACTACAGGTTGGGGTTATATTTAGTAGTGTGACTATGTCTGAAATTAACATGCTGTATGAGAGGGTGCATTTAAACTCATGCCTGACTAGACTGTGTTAAATGGTCAACAATTGAACTATTATGGTGGGAAGAAATCTTGGTGTTTCCTTTTTTTTTTTCTGCCTGGTGGAATTAAAAGAAATAATGCGACATTAAAAAAAGACACCTTGTCCTGTACTTAGAAATTTAGGTGAGTGTTGACCATTCTTGGATGTTCTTGGTTTCAGCATGACCTACTGGAATTGATGGTACAAAACGGATGAGAACCTAGCTGGTTGCAATATTTTGTTACCTCTAATGGGGGATATTGGGGAGTATCTAAAGTGATTTTCACTTCCAAGATGGAATGTTTCTTTAAATTGAATGAGGTAATGTGATGTTAGTCATGCGACTCTAAAAAGGTGAGGTCAGTCTGACGTTGTACTTTGTGATGTACTTAAAGAAGCGCTTGCCATAGTACTACAGAATCCACGCAATCCACTGTTGGCTGCAACCCAAAGGCAATATACTGCTCCTGTCCCACTAGAGTCCATGGGAGGTTTATGCAAAGATAAAGGCAGCATATGGACTTAAGTCAATTGTGATCAGTGCATCTGTTCATTTGTGATTTTGTTTGCTTCATGGTTTTGAGAAACTACTTTTTTTGTTAAGTATCAGAGGGGTAGCCGTGTTAGTCTGAATCTGTAAAAAGCAACAGAGGGTCCTGTGGCACCTTTAAGACTAACAGAAGTATTGGGAGCATAAGCT